TCTTCTTTATTAATTAGACAGTTTATCCCTTTTCTGCTGAACTGTTCAGGGTTTTAAAAAATGCACTCCCCCGCTCTCTGGTGCCTTTCCTCCAGCCAGCAAGACCTGAGAGGCTGGTCGGAGGATGAAAGGTGGGACAAACACAAGAGAAAGAATTGAGAAGAATCCGCACACAGAACTCTAGAGCTCAGGGAAGCGGTCATGCTGTGTCCCAGCAGGGGATTCTGGGAACTGTAGTCCAAAACAAGGTCACTCTCCCAAGCTGTGCAGAAACCCATGCTTGTCAAAAGCTGCCTTATACTGTATTCCCTCGCTGGCACACAACGAACTCATGAACCGAGAGAAACGGATGATGTTCGGGGACCTTTCCTTCTAGGGCTTGACGGTGCCCCGAGTGGACCACCCGGTGGACCAAGGCAACTTGGAGAAGATGGTGAAGAAGGCGATCCAGGAGTACTCGTATAAGAACTCGACGGAGCCGACGGCCTATCGCCCGTACAAATACTGGGTGACCCGAGAGGAAGGTACGTGAAAGGTCAGAGGGTCGGTCTCCTTCTGCAGGCCACCGCCCCCACACCCCATTTGCCCCAGACTTTCCAGTAGTGACACGAGGTCCATGTGTTCGAACCCAGTCCCAAACGGTGGCAACGTCATGCGCCACCAGGTGGATTTGACCCTCACTTCCGCCCGGCTGGGGCAGCTCTTCCAAACTACCTTTTCACTCTTCTCCTCCCCATCTCACAGTCCTTCTGTGGCTCACTCTTGTTATCTTTCTTTACTTACCTCCTCTTTGCTGCGTGTCCCATGGCTCAGAAAAGTTCCTCTTTTTGCACTTTTTGGAGTTTGTGCAACCTCGCATGCTCCCTTTAGGAGGTGTGGTTGAGAGGAACCTTTCTGAGCCGGGGGTGATAGAAATGAATAAGGAAATTTGCAAAGACATTTACAAGCACAATGATTTTTTAAAAAGCCGTTTAAGATGGTTTTCTCTCTTTGCATGGCAGAGAAGTTCAACCCAGTCTTTGTCGGCGAAGACCGGTATGCGACGTGGAGGACCGGCCCTTACAACAGTGCGTCATGGAACAGATACACCACGTACCTCCCACGAATTCCCAGGGTAATGCACGGAGATCCAGGAGCAATTTTACGGGTGGCAAAGAGAGCCGGCCCTTTCGTTTGGCAGAGTGCGGTGGTTGCCTTAAAGCACGAGGCTCCAAGTGTCAGGGATAAACAGCCATGTGCCTGCCATCAAGTCAGTCCTGACATATGGCAACCATTTTCAGAGTTTTCCAGGGAGAGAAGACTCAGAAATGGCTTCTCATTCCCTCCTTCTGGGGCTAATTGCCCAAGGCCACCCAGGCTGGCCCTTCTCTCTGGAGATGCACTGGGGGGAATCGAACTCTGCAGCCACACGCCTGAGCCACTGAGCTCTCCTGCCAGCCGGTGGCAGGAAAAGGCCACGGATTATAAGCAGACCCCTTGGTGGTCCTTGCATTTTCAATGCCAAGGATGTGAAGACGTAGGATTCTCTGTTTTAAGATTCCCTCCGGTGGCTGGTGTTCAGAGGTACACTGCCCCAGAGTGTGGAAGTTCCACGTAAGGTAAAGGTAAAGGTAAAGGTTCCCCTTGACAATTTTTGTCCAGTCGTGTCCGACTCTAGGGGGCGGTGCTCATCCCCGTTTCCAAGCCATAGAGCCAGCGTTTGTCCGAAGACAATCTTTCCGTGGTCACATGGCCAGTGTGATTTAGACACGGAACACTGTTACCTTCCCACCGAGGTGGTCCCTATTAATCTACTCGCACTTCTGGGGCTAACTGCCCAAGGCCACCCAGGCTGGCTCTTCTCTCTGGAGATGCACTGGGGGGAATCGAACTCTGCAGCCAGACGCCTGAGCCACCGAGATCTCCTGCCAGCCGGTGTCAGGAAAAGGCCACGAATTATAAGCAGACCCCTTGGTGGGCCTTGTATTTTCAGTGCCAAGGATGTGAAAACGTAGGATTCTCTGTTTTAAGATCCCCTCCGGTGGCTGGTGTACAGAGGTACACTGCCCCAGAGTGTGGAGGTTCCACGTAGCTACCATAAATTGACCCCCCCCCCTTTTGAGAGGCCTTTGGGACCATGGCTGTCACCACAGTTTAGTCTGCAAATCCCACTGGTCCAGGCTTGGTCCCAGATGGGAGTAGACGGCTTGGCTTCATGCTTTCATGATTTGTTTTTGAAAAGGCACGTTTGGATTAGGGTTTTCTGGCAGATGTGTACGGGTGTCCTTTGCTTTCGATCCCAAAGCGTAAAACCTAGTTCCTGTCCCATTACTCTTGTCACAGGTAACACACAAACAAAGTTTGCAAACTTTTATTGATTATGATTATGATGGTTCCTGGAATGGCCCAGTCGGCTGGTCATATTTCCTATGGGATTATGGGAACTGTAGTCCCTCCCACCCAAATACTTTTCCCAAGCTCCACACACACAGCCATACCTATACCGACCACCCATCTGAAGTGTTTGTCTCGGTTTTCTTGCCACTTTCCTACTTGCCCTGTCTCTCCTTGTTCATCTTTGCTGCGCACATGCCACCTCCTGTTCCGTAGCCATAGGGAAGGTTGTGCTGAAGCTGCAGTGTTTGTGGACATTCCATGGCTACCTCTTCCCCTGCAGTAGTTGCCATAGCAGATATGAAGAGCGGGCGTGCAACAGCCTAATTTCTAAACTGCAGCAATCATGTATAGCCGTCCAGTCTTTAACGCCCCACTCCCAAAATGGGCAGATAAGCTGGCACACAGAAGCTGTCCTTCTTATAGCCCAACACATTGCCTCATCCTCTAAGACAGGGAGCATGACTCCATGCACTTATTTCCAGCAGCCACATTTTGGAGGCCTTGGGGGCAAACAATGTTTGCTTGCAGAAAACACACACTTTTGCTGGCTGGGGGTGGTGGTGGTGGTGGTGTGTGTAGGAGAGGAGGCTCTCTTGCCAAACCGGTTCTGTCAGAACAAGCCCTGGACAGACGGCAGAGCAGCAATGAGAGAACCGGTCAGGCTTGTAATTAGTTAATCACCACCATCCCGTGATCATGGGGGTGCGTGGCTAGGCCTGATCCAGGGGGACCCCCCCAGCTGGCCAGATCTGTTTCTTTGTGTGTGGGGGGGGGGTCCTAGATCTTTTCACCAGAGCTCTGAGGGCCTCCTAGCAACAACGGAGAATTTTTAGCTGAAGTGCCACACGAGGGCTTCTTTTCTGGGAGAACTGCAGCACAGTGAGGGAAGAGTTAACCCTCCCTGCCCCACATGCTTCGGCATTCACATGTGCCAGGAAGCAACAGGTAGCACTTAGACAAATGCCCCCCCCAAACTAGGTAGTACAGTTAGCCCATCCTTGGAATCAGAGCTCCCTGAAGAGGTTAAAAAAACATTTGTATATAAGCAGCACACTCTAACGTGATTTCAGCTCTAATGAAGCTGGGTTTTATCTGTGATATCTGGTCCATCCTTTCCTACCTCTAACAGCTGTAGCTCTCACCCACCCCCCAACCTCCACCACACACAGGGATGCTCCGATCCTAAGATCCCCAGGTGATCCCATCCAACTTACTGTATTTTTTCCATTTATAAGATGCCCCCATGTATAAGATGCCCCCCCCCCCGTTTTCTAACCCCAAATTAGAAAATTTGATCCCTGCTTTTCCCTTCCTTTTGCTCAGCCACGGAGCTCAGCAAAAGGAAGGGAAACGCATGGATCAAAGAGCTCCCTTTGACCGTCGCTTTTCCTTGCCTTTTGCAAGGCCACGGGGTTTAGCAAAAAGGACGGGAAGGCTCCCTTTGGGTTGCGAAACCCGTTCCTGGGCCCCGTGGCTTCACAAAAGGCAGGTAAAAGTGGCTGCCTTCCCTGTATAAAACAACCCTCCATTTTTTGTCTAATTATTTAAGGGGAAAGTGTCATTTTATACAAGGGACGTCATTTTATACACAGAAAAAAAAATTGTGAAACCAACTCTCCCAGGGATGGTCTTGTTTTGCAGGAAGACAGGATGGAGTCCCTCCTCCGCGGGATGCCGATGCAGTACCCTCCGAAACCTGAGCGGCTCAACAACTACGGTAACTCGCCCACCTTCTCCTTTCACCGGGAGCAGCCAAGAGGCGGACCAGCCAGAGGCGGGGGGGGGAAGGGAGGGAGGAGAACTGAGTATTATCCGCATAAAATCAAGCTGGATAATGGCACAGGCAGCTGAAAACCTTTCGGTGGCGGAGGCAGAGCACCCCAGGGGGCCTGTCCTGCTTTCCCCCCCGCCTCCGAATGAATAAGAAGCACAGGGTGCTTTCTTATTCTGAAAGAATCAGAAATACATCGTGTGTTTTGGGGTGGGGGGTCGCTCTCCGCACATGGTAGATTCCTCTGGATTCCTCTGGATTCCCCATGTGCTGAGAGGGAAAGGGTTAAATATGTCTCCACCCTGCATGGTCCCGATCCACTGACAACTCTTCCGCTAGTTTTCGCCCTGTGCCTCTTTCCATTAAGAATCTCACAGTACGATCCTGATTAGAACCTGAAACCAAGTCCATGTCATCCTGGACTGATTCCCACTCAGCTTTGTTCATAAGCCACGAGATTTTCAAATGTCATGAGCTCATTGGCAAGCTGGAGAAATAAAAAAAATGGTGTGACGATCAAATGGTTTTTCAAATGGAATTCCAGCTTCTAATGATGTGCTGTCTGTGTCATTTAATGGGATCCTGAGAAAGCACGTGGATCTCTCCCAGGGGCTTCCTGTGAAGGCAAAGACAGAGCTTGGGAAAGTTACTTTTTTTGACTACATTTCCCAGAAGCCTCAGTCAACAGGCTGCCTGGGGAATCTTTAAAAAGTAATTTTTTTTCCCAGCCGAGATCAAGCTCTCGTGGCAGCATCACGTCCTTCTCCATGATCACTGGGAAGGATAATGATGGTGACATGTAGAACAAGGAATCCATCCTTTAGGAGTGGCAGGAAGATGCTGTGAGTCGCAGAGCATCATCCTACCTCTGCTAAGTTACGGATGGACTGAGCCCATTCCCTTCTCCTTCCAAGACGTCTTCCGAGCACCACACCTGAGTTGTAACCCCTCTGTCCCTTCCGCCTAGCTCTGCCGGGCACATGCGCGCCTCTCTTTTTCTCCACCCCTCCCCACCGCACCCATTTCCTCCAGAGCGGGAAGTCGTGGTCAACATGTTGAACAGCCTGTCTCGGAAGCAGCTGCCCTCCCTCCAGCACCACTACACCATCCCCGGCAGGATGCCCTACCAAGGCTACTACAGCCCCTGCACAGGACGACACTACTGCCTGCGAGGGATGGATTACTACGTGGACGGAGCCCCCACCAACGAGCGGCAGATCAGCCAGCTCGTTGAGAAGATTGTAAGGTTCGCAGGGCTCTGCCGCCCACTCCATGCTCCCTCACCGGTCCCACCCCCACCCCCTCGGGCCAGGTGTGGACGTGGTGGGAGGAGGGCGGGCCAAACTGATCCGGGAAAGCAGGAGCCTGCTGCCCTGAATGATGGAGGGTCAGGAAAGGTTCAGAAATGCACCGAGCAGGGATGGGGACTCAAGGAATCCAGCCACGCTGTCAAGTTGAACTTGACAGGCCACGTGACCCAGCAACTTGAACTGGGCTTTTTTCAATGTTTTTTCCCAATGACTCAGATTTGACTCGCAATTCAGAACCCACCCATCCTTCCTTTCTTCTGGGAGAGGGGGAAGCTTGTTTTTAAAAGGGACTCAGACTTGGGACTTGGGACTCAAGACTTGGGACCAGAGACTCAGACTTGGGACTTGGGACTCAGGACTTGGGACCAAAGACTCAGACTTGGGACTTGGGACTCAAGACTTGGGACCAAAGACTCAGACTTGGGACTCAAGACTTGGGACCAAAGACTCAGACTTGGGACTCAAGACTTGGGACCAGAGACTCAGACTTGGGACTTGGGACTCAAGACTTGGGACCAAAGACTCAGACTTGGGACTCAAGACTTGGGACCAAAGACTCAGACTTGGGACTTGGGACTCAAGACTTGGGACCAAAGACTCAGACTTGGGACTCAAGACTTGGGACCAAAGACTCAGACTTGGGACTTGGGACTCAAGACTTGGGGCCAAGCAACAAGACTTGGGACTCAAGACTTGGGACCAAAGACTCAGACTCAGGCTTGGGACTCAAGACGTGGTACCAAAGACTCAGACTTGGGACTCAAGACTTGGGACCAGAGACTCAGACTTGGGACTTGGGACTCAAGACTTGGGACCAAAGACTCAGACTTGGGACTCAAGACTTGGGACCAAAGACTCAGACTTGGGACTTGGGACTCAGGACTTGGACCAAAGACTCAGACTTGGACCCAAAGGCTTGCTAACAGCCCTATTTAGAAACCTCAAAAGGAATGCTGTGGCTTTGGGTCTTTTACTCCCCCTGTTCCCCTGGGGCTAGTCGTGTTTTTTGTTAACTCTCTGGGGATCCACCCGTCCTGAACATAGAGCAAGGAATCCTCTCCAAAAATGGTTAGGATCCTAGAAACGTGGTGCTGGATGACACTTCCATGATTGTCTAGTCTACCCTGCACAGCTCAAGTGCTCAGGATGCCCATCTCTGACGGCGTGCTAGCTCTCTGTGCTGTCTCCTCGAGAGCCTGAGAGGATGATGAAGAGGGAAGCCACTTGAAGCCGGGGGAGATGGCCAAAATGCCATTCAGGTTGGAAACATTTTGGAATCTGGCTCGCGTTCATTTGGTGTATCTGAGACGCCTGGGTCACGTAGCCTGTCAACATCGGGCTCAGCCTTGCCCAGGGATGAACCACCGTGAACCTGGTGCAAAAGCTGAGCCTGAAAGCTCTCTCCTCAGAATGGGGCTCAGCCACGGATGATGTGACTCCGAAGGCACGCTTTTCTTTTCCCAGTTCAGTTGGGGAAAATATGCTTTAAACACAGAAGGTGCCAGGTCTTAGGAAAGGTAGTATAGTAGGCATCCTTCAGTCTCGGGAGACGATGGTCACGTGGTCTGAATAGAGGTCCTGGAACAGCATCTCCTGTGTCTGAGAAGGCCAATTCAAGAGTGACCATCCCTTCCACCCTGAAGACAAATACCATCTGTCCCCTGTCCAGCTCCCTGGTTTTGCTGGTTTCAGATCCTGCTTGCAGATCTCCTTGTATCACAGCTGTGGTTTCCCTCTGGGGCGATTTCCTTGCACTCATTCTCCATACAGGAGATCTTTTGGAATCCGAATGTCAACCATTCTAACGGAAAAGAGAGTAAGCCTCTGTAAAGATTTGTAAGGAAAACCAGGTTCCATGTGGAGTCAGGCAAGCAGTTGCGCACGGGTGGAGCGATGCAATCTGGGCAGGAAACCTTGGAGGTTTTTTTTTAAGGAATGCAAACCCATCCGTATCAGTGGCTTTCACTCTACTTGACAGAGTGTGCCATCTTTATGCACACACAGCATGCCACAAACAGGCAGTTGTTGTAGCAGGAGTCAGTAAAGGGATGGCAGAACGAGAGCTCCAGATGGCTCAGATAAGTGAGCAGTGTGCAGTGTGCAGAAGGCAGGAAAAAGAAAGGCCATTGTGAGGGCGAAGCTCTGCATATTCATAGCTGCTGTGTTGAAGTTCCTAGGAATCTTGGTTTTGTGATGTTTCCTGTTGTGCTGCTGCAGCCACTCTCCTGTGCAGCCTGCAAAGTCCAGCTGGAACTTCCAGCAGGGATTTCCCCTTAGTGTGAGGGCCTGTGAAAAGGCCAGCCCTTCCATGGGGTGCGCCCAGCCAACTTCTCTTCTTCCAGAGTCGACGTCTCCCAGCAGTCCTGGCCATTCAGCACTTTCGGAGTCACCTGTGTAGGCAAGGGGTAACCTTGAAAATCTTGGCAGGGTCACCTTGCCAGGAGAAAGGCAGTCTATAAATAATGGATGGATTGATGGACGGACGGATGGACAGACAGATGGATGGATGGATAGCAGAAGGAATTTCAATCTTTGATCGCCCTAGGTTGCATCGATAAAGGTATGGTGTCCAGATCAAGAGCAGGAATAATACTCATCTGTTCTGCTTTGGTCAGACCTCCCCTGGAATCCTCCATCCATTTCCAGGCCGCACAGTTGAAGAAAGAATGGTACATGTCCAAAAGGAGGGTGGCTAGGATCACGAAGGGTCTGGCCACCAAGCCCTGTGAAGAAGTATGGGTTACATTCAACCTGAAGAAGAGACGACCGAGAGGTGATACGATAGCCACCTTCAGATATTCAAAGGGTTGCCATGAGGAAGACGGACCAAGATTGTTTTCTGCCGCTCCAGTGGGGGCAGGACTCAATGCAAGGGATTCAAATATGAGAAAGAAGAACTTCACCAAACTTCAGAAGGAATTTCCTGACCATAAGACCTGTTCAAACGGTGGGCTGGGTTACCTTGGAACACGGTATCGTTAACTTCACTGGCAGTTTTGGGCTCCCTTCCACTTCTGTGTTTCTAGGACACACATGAACACAAACCAGTTCCACCAACCAGTGACAAAAGTCTCTGCCTGCCTCCTATCTGCACTCCGGCCTTTGGCTCCCTTTTAAACACCGAACGCCATGGATCGATTCAGTGTATGGCCTTTCTATCAAAACGCAAGGCGCTGACATTGCAGGAGCAACAAGTTGAGGAACTGGGAAGTGCACGTAGGGGTTTGATTTGCATTCAGCCTGGGATCGGCTCCCTTCCCCGCCTCTTGCGTTCTGAGCCTTTCATCCATTTCATCCCTCTTTCCACATGTTTGACTTTAATCGGATAAAAGGCCCCTGATTTAAATCAAACACGGGGATTGCTTTTCATGTTTTAAGGTTTGGATCAGCCTCTGTCTGCGGCCACAAAGAGCATGGAGATTAAACCCACGTTCATCTCCTTCCCTTCCTTTTTCCAATGCAATTTATTATTAAGATATCAAACTCCCTGCCAGAATAGGCAGCTGCCGTCGGCAGTTTGGATTACTTTTATAAAGATAAAACAGAGTCCCGTCATGAATGGTGAGTCGATCAACCCATGGAGGTTAGCCATCGTAGCGAGACCAACAGATTTCACAAATACTGTAAACCCTAACCTATAATCTTTTTAGCAACGTAATTCATTAACAAGAGAAGATGGGAAGTGCTGTCTTTTGCTGAGTACAAGAGGCTTGCCTAGCTCAGAGCTTGGAAACGTTGCTTTTTTGGATTATAACTCCCAGAATCCCCCAAGCTAGAAGTTCTGCCTTGGTCTGATCAAGCAATGGGATTCCTTCTTTTCTTACCCACTCACCTGAATGCATTCCCTCAAATAATATAAATGCTCACGGGTCTCCTTTCTTCAGCTTGAGAACGCCTTTTCCGCCCCGTTCAGCCATGAGATGTTGGAGGGGTGAAGGAGAAGAGTTTCCGCATTTGCCGTAGAAATTTTTGAGAACTGTATAAGCTGCTGGAATTGCACACCCAAGCTGTCCTAACGGCTGACTCGCTGCAGAGGCTTTTACTTTAGAAGCATCAGACGCAGGGAGCCAGAGACTCCAACTTCAGTGATGTTGTGAATCTCTTCGGAGTTTTAGTAAGCAGACACTGAATCTATCTGGAGGATGGGTTTAGACACCTGGGACAGCACCTGTAAATTGCAGAACATAACCCGGAGTGGATTCACAGCACCTCTGAACCTGGAGTCAACCAACTCCAGGTTTTTTGATCAAGTTATTCATTTGCACCTTTTTGAGGCTACCAGGGCCCCCCCATCCTCTGATTATGTGTGCATGTGTGTATGCGCCAATATGCATGTTCACATTTGCTTCGGGATGGAAATGGACATTCATTTTGCACAATTTGAGCCAATTGTGGAAGTGAAGACTAAAAAGGAGCCATTGTCTTGTTCTCGTGCTGGAGGACGGACATCCCAGGAGAGCTGGCAGATTCCGCACAGCCTGTCTCCCAAAGAATGAGTCCTTTAGCAAGCCATCTTCCCTTCCCCACATATCTCGCTGCCTGGCACATGCTCTCCATGAACAGCAGTCTTTCTTGGGGGAGGGAGGAAAAGGAGAGAAGGGCCGGCCTGCAAAATTCTCTCCTGCTGTCACGGGTAATGAGAGCAACCCTTTCCCTTCCTCTCACTGGGATTCTTTTCTCTCCTCTCAGGAATTTCCCGTACTACGACCACCACCACGAGATGATGCTCTGTGCACGCATGCCCAGCCTGCTGCCATCTTTCCCCTGTATGAACCTTAGGTGAGGAATCCAACCGACAGGGTTCTGGGTGAGGGAGTGCTGGCAAGGTGGGGGGGGGCGTTGTTTCTCACAATCAAAAAGCCTTCTGGGAAGCCCCAACTTTCCCCCAGAAGCCCACGTACAACAGAATTTGGCATCCTTATCAAGCTGGAGGATTCAGGGACTTGTAATGACTGGAAGCTCTTATCAGGAGTTCCTCAACCAACCTCCTTCTTACTCATTTCCCCACAGGAAAGGGAATTCAGAGTGTGGGTTGGATTCTTAGCTCAGGCAGGGGGAGAGTCGTGGCAAGTAGAAGTGGGGCACAGACCGAACTGCGAATCAGAAAAAAAAAACGGGCCAGTTTGTGGTTCAGGTCATGGTTTGGCTTGGGGGTAACCATTTTGCCGAAGCAAAACAAAGCGTTGAGCTTTTTTGCCTCCAGAGCTTGGTTTTGCTGTGGCAACACCATATCCTCCTTTACCAATGCCATCATGATAGACAGCAGGCCGGTGTCCCTTCCAAGAGCCGCCCCCGTTGCATCTGCGCCCGCGCCTGCTGCCCGGCTGATAGGTGGGCGCAGGCGCAGAGACGACAGGCCAGCTCCAGGAAGGGAAGCCGGTCTGCTGTCTCTGGCAATGGGGCAGTGGTGGTGGCGGAGGAAGAAGCATCCTCAGGACCAGGTAGGGAGATGATGGAGGTTGTGGGAAGGGGGTAGGTGGGTGGTTCGCCACCCCCCCTCCCCAGCATGAATCCAAAAACTGAACTGCAGACCAGTTTGTTTTTCAGGGGGTTCATGATGGTGCATGGGGAGTCCCGAACCACAAACCATCACGGACCCCTGGTTTGCTGGCGCATGCTCATCTCTAAAGGTGAGGCCTCACATGTGACGTGAAAAGCCCATATAACTGAAACAGGTGGTGCAAAAAAGAAATATCCTAGAAACCCTTGGTGGGCATCAGCAATGTCTCCATGGGTTTCATATTACCTGAAATATCCGGTGAAGGATCCCTGTCGGCTGAAATCGATGCTGTACACACGTTTGGGGAGCAGAAGAAAGTTCTGGCTGCTCCTTGTACTGGGAGGTTCCTCCTCCCACCAGGTTTCCCAGTCTGAAGGTCACATCTGTTATAAAACTTCTGCCTCGAAGCTACTGGCTTCCAGGCAGGAGTTTTACAGCAAAGCAGGCTCAACCAGACCATGAGGAATGAGGGCACCTGGGCTCCTTGGCCAATGGGCGTACATGCTTCCTATGCGCTCCTCTGTGCCTTTCTCGGGAGCAAAAAGAAAAGAAAAGGGGCCCTCACTGAATGGCCACTTGGAGAGACTGGTGCCTGATGACGGATTGACCGGTTTGCCTTATTTAGAGGCTGCCTTTGTCCTGATCAAGGGACTCAAGGCAACTTGCCGTATTTCTCAACCCTGTGGGCATCTGTTCCGCAGGGACCCTCCAGGCAGACCTCCTCCAGGGCTTTGGCTGCAGGGATGTTCCCGTTTCAAGGGTTGTGCTCATCTTTCGCATCAAAAACAGGAGCATCCTGGGATGCAGACTAGGGTGACTTGCTGGTTATAGTCTGCAAAAGCTTGCGCCATGTTTGATTTGGTGATCTGTAGGATGCCACAAGGCATCCCCGTTTTTTGTGATGTTCTAGTGAAGAAGCCAAATCCCAAAGCCTGTGCTTTAACAAAAAGATAGTTCTGGTCCGTTCATAGCATGCATCTCTACCTTGTGCAACTTGGTCCCATCACTGCTGGAGACTTCACGAGGTTCTTCCTGCTTGGGAGGCCGTCCTGTGACAGCCTCATAACTTGCCCTCTTCCAAGACGTTGCTTTAAAGAGGCTGATCCCGTTGCAGCCCAAGCCGAAGGGGACTCAGCTGCCAGTCTCTGGTTTCTGCATTTGAGTGCCCAGAAGAGCAGCCGCAACCTTCCTGTCACCATGAAAGCAAACACTCAAAACCCAGGCAGGGCTTAAGAACAAAGAGCTCACCATCTCCATGCTAATGCTGAACAATGGCTGGATGGGAGTGTACCGGGGAACTCCCATGCACATGGCTTTGCGTGCAGCAAGGAAGCAAAGATAACCTGTTAAGATAGGGCAAAAGCATTTGTGGGCTATGCCAAAAGAAACAAAGTTTGTTTGGTCGGACTGTACCCTAGAGAAACACAGGTTGCGCCATGCAATCTCACAGACGCAGTTTAGTCCAACTGATGAATTAGGAACATGCCATGCAACATACATTGCACGGGGTCAAAGCAAATGCTACAGTTAGCATGTCATTAGACACAGCAATTCCTTAGCTGTTAAAAGAACTTTGCCTGGCATTGCACAGGTTTTTGTGTTTTCCCTTAGCTTGCAAACCAGTTGCTTTGTTTTGTAATTGGTCGTCATCAGAAAGTAAGCACCAGCTTCATGTTCATTCTGAATTGCTCACTCATGATGGTTAGAGGGGAACTATATTCCTAAAATATGCCTTAATCTAATGGCATGCTTTCAGTAGCATCTAGCCTAAATATAAGCACAACTTTGTGCCCTCCTCCTTGAGCCTCCAAAGTAGGGGAAAAAAGAACTAGAAATCCCCCATCTAGTCACTCCCTGCTTGTTATCTCTTTTAAAAACATCCATTTTGGCCATTCCTAGCCTTGGTTGCCTACTGGGTTTGAAGATTAGGAAAAACTTCTTAACTATTAGAGCAGTACGACAATGGAACCCATGACCTCAAGGGGAAGTGGTGAGCCCTTCAACCCTGGGGGACTTCAAGAGAAAATGGAACCACCCTCGGTCCGATCTGCTTGGATTGGGATCCCTGCCTTGAGCAGGCGGTTGGACTAGATGGCCTTAGAGGCCCCTTCCGACTCCATGATTCTGTGAACATGGCCCCCCAAGCCTCTGACCTTCTCCATCCCAGGTTGACTTTGACCTTTCCAGTTCATCACTGAGTTGTTTATTGCAATGCTAGGGCAGAAGGAAAAGTGCAGATACTGAAAGCTAGGAGACCTGAATAGAATACTCGAAGCTGAAAAAGCCACCCTTCTTGGTCTTCCACAGTACAGCCGGACCTTCGACGTGTTGGGATTCACTTCCACACAAGGCCAACAAAAAGGTCCTTCTAACTAACTCTTTTCTCTGCTTCTGGAAGGCCACAAATGGAGCTTAGGTTGCTTCCCCCCCCCTGCAAACCCTGGGGGCTTCATCTCCCCTTCTGCAGCCTCAGAATGTGAATGTCATACCTTGAGAAGCACCACCTGATTCTGATTCTGATCCAAGCTAACCTCTCTCTCTCTCTCTCTCTCTCTCTCTGGCAGATGGGACACGAGTCACTTTAAGAAGATCGGGCCCGTGCAGAGGGACAGCTTTACTATTCATCCTGAGTTTGTGTCAGAATCTTTCCCTAATCCACCGTGCTGGTAGCAGAGAGTTGAGACAGGTTGACATTAAAATTGCCGCTGGTGACTAACGGCGCCTCCGTCCTTTTCTTGGGCAAAACGATTTTCTTCATTTGGCACATCACGCAATCACATCCTCCAGCGCGTGAGAATGGCAGCCTCCCCCCCCCTCTTTGCTGGCCTAGAAGCACCACTGGGGTGGGTGAAGCCGAAAACTGAGTTGCCAGGAAAAGCACTGATGTTTCCCTTATTTTTCTCCCTGTCCAAATTATGACAAGTTTGTCTTGCTTATTTCCATGATACGTGGGGAGCCTTTCCATGACTCTCTGCCCTTCTGCCTACAAGAGGTTTTATTTTCAGCCTCTCTTTGTTCGGGGGGAGAGTTTAGCAGTTAGGGGGCTTCCCAACTGAAGTTCTTGTGTGGGCAGCAAGAAGCGACCAGCTCTGAAGGCATGGATTTCTTTGATTTTTCTCAGAAGATGTATTAAAGAAAAGCTTTCTTCTCAATGAGAAGTGGATTTGTGTGATTGTGGACGCAGATCCTGAAAATCCACACACCTCTTCAGCATCAAGTACCAAAGAGGGGAGTGAAGACAAATGCTCCCTGGGGAAGAGCCCTCCCCTGAGAGGCAGCAAAATACCCCCTGCCCCAAAATTAGACTGCCCCTCCACTACAACCTGCCACTTTCCCCTGTGCCTGGCTTCCCCATACCACAGAGGAAGGAGTCGCCAATTCAATCAGAGAAGAACACAACTGCGTTCATTGTGGGACTGGCACTTCAACGGCAGCCAACTGCAGGAGCTTCCACTCATGGAAAAACCCAACGGGCTCTTGTTCTATCTATCTATCTATCTATCTATCTATCTATCTATCTATCTATCTATCTATCTATCTATCTATCTATCTATCTATCTATCTATCTATCTATCTATCTGATTCCATTATCATTTTGTTAGTCACCTTGGCTTCCTGCATTTGAACAAAAACAGAATCAGTGCCATGAAATGAATCATGAATTAAGTCGCTATCGACAATGACTCCTTATTTGCCTGGAGGTGGGTCTTCTGTTGCGGCAGATGATGCAATGCTAGGAGGGGTAGCTAACACGGAGAGCCCAAATGGTTGCTGTTGTGTTGTCATTATGTGCCATTAAGTTCCCTCCAACTTTTGATGGCTTTATGACTGAGTTGTTGCAGAGTTTGAATTTTTTGGTGGATTTCTTTTAGCGGCACAGCAGACGTAGAGGGATTCACAGAGCAGAATAGCTTCAAGTTTCCCCAGACTAAACCACCCTTTGCTCTCATTAACTGGCCCTAACAGTCTCAATAACTCACTCTGAGACATTAATAGTAGAAAGGATAAAAATGTTTCATTTACTTACAGAACAGCAGCAAACTGACAAATATGACTGCTTTCAGCAACAGACTTCAACAGACTTAAGAGAGGGGAGAAAGCTCTCAGCAGAGAGGTGGGGGCTGTCTTTGAAACCAGAGGCAGGGAAGAAATGATTGGTTAGTTCTGGGTAGATTGACAGTCATTCCAGGCCAGAAAGGGACCTCCCAGCCAAACCTACTAAAGGCAGCATGCAAGGTTGGAAAAACTTGGACATGAGTAACCACCAAAATTTAAGTCAGCATGATAGAGGGTATAATGCTTGAGAGAGGGGAAATGTGTCAGTTTTACATTTTCCTGCAGTTCACGTTTCAAAAACTTCCAAATTATTTCTGCCCGAGATATGAAGAAATTTGAGAATTTTAGTAGACTCTTCAAAATTCAACATAGTACCGTTGTCTTGGGAGCAGTGGGGGGAAAGGCCAACAATTGTGGTACTTTAAAGAGTAGCAGATTTATTTCAGGGTGAGTTTTCATGAATCGAAATCCACTTCTTCAGACACAAAGGAATGGAAATACACGTCCTCTCTATTTACTCCCAGGCTGGTGAGATGCCTTTCTAGGTGAGAATGAAGACAACAGACAAAGCAACATTGGTTCATTAACCCAGTAAATTAAACATTCAAAGCCCTGGGTTTAGATGAGCAGATATGACTTTCTAACATCTGGTTTGGGTCAGGGGATTGGTGGACCGGTCTCCTCCTGTGGTGCAACGCAGCTGCGCACTGGGACATAGGGGCAGGGGAACGATTCAGAAGACGGTGTTGATGAAGCTGGTCTTTCATGGCCTCCAAGCAAAAATATCAGACATGGCAGAAAGGTCCTTGACCCAGGATCATCGCCCTTCCAGCTTAAGAGTTGCCTCCACAACTCTTTCACGACCGGATTTGTTTTGTGTGTTTGTGCGCATGTGATAAATACACTTGTTTCCTATCTCTGTGGCAAGCGACCTGGGACCCTCTTAACAGGAAGATAGGCTAGAAATCTCCTCCTAAGTCAACACAGCAAGCTGAGGAAAGAGCCCCAGAATGAGATTATTTTGTTTGGGCTACCTGCGGTGTAGTTAATGGAGTAAATGTTTAATGGCCGGAAAGGTGGACCTTGTTCTGTGTGCTAATCAACGAGAAAAGGAATCTGGAGTAAAGGTTCAAAAACATGTCCTGCCGATTCTACTGCCAGAAAAGGAGTGAGTGCTATGGGGCTAGATGGTGCGAGGATCTGATCCAGCCCCAGGCGCTTCTCACCCTCCTATTTAAATTCAGAAGCAGGAGGACTAGATTCAGGCCACGCGGTGGCTTGGCAGCAACACAGCAGCCGCTGGGCACCTAGGAGATCCCGGATTCCATTCCGATGTTTTCCTGCAGATAACAACGGCACACACGGATGGATCTTGCCCACTTGCAGGCCCTAAGCAGGGCCGCAGTCCTGGCTTATCCTTGGAATGGGAGACCAAGGTTTAGTATCCCGGGGACCTCCAGCCAAGGTTAGGAAAAAGGCCTTTGCCTGAATGAATCCCTGGGAGCATCCGTGAGTCCGAGATGGACAATAGCAGGCTTGCTCATCCAGTGGTCTGCCAGAGTCTAAGGGAATGTCCTGGCACTCCTTGTTTTCTTGTTCCCTTTTGGGTGCAGGGGAAGGTTTCCCACGGTGTGGCTTTGTGCACGGAGCTCTTCTTACCAGCAAACCAACCAAATGTAGTAGTAAGTATCCTTCAATCTCGAGAGACGTGGTCACGTGCTCTGTATGGAGGACTTGGAACAGTGTCCAGTGCGGTTGAGGAGGCCAATTCGAGAGTGACCATCCCTTCCACACTGAAGATAAATACAATCTCCCTGGTTTGGCTGGTTTCGGGATTGCCTCTTGGCCTCGGCCTGCTGGACAACAAGGGTCTCTTCAAATTGGGAGAGGCCGTGATGCACTGCCTGCCTCCAGGCTGAACACTCAGAGGTCAGGGTTTCCCATCTGTTGAGGTCCACTCCTAAGGCCTTCAGATCCCACTTGCAGATCTCCTTGTATCACAGCTGTGGTCTCCCTCTGGGGCAATTTCCCTGCACTGATTCTCCTTACAGGAGATCTTTGGGAATCCGACCGTCAGCCATTCTCACGACATGCCCGAGTCAATGTAGACATCGCTGTTTCAGTAATGTATACATGCTAACAATTCCAGCTCATTCTAGGACTACTCTATTTGGAACTTTGTTGCAGCGCAACAGGTGGCCCTCAACGGGTCAAGCTTTGGGGCAGGGAGCCCCACGGAGAAAAGACCGCCACCTGCTAGACTCTGTTTCTCCTGCAGCAGCTTCCAGACACTGTGCATATTTGCCTGGGACAGATGCAGCCAACTTTTGGCCTGCCAGATTATTTATTTGTTTATTCGAATATGTGTTTATTACAACACCATACAGAGTATTCTTCATTAGACTTCTGAGGGTACTGTGTAATCTCCGGATGCTGACTCCTTTGTCTGAAGAAGTGGATGATGTTCCACGAAAGCTTACAGTTCATCTTTCAAGTGCTATCACCTTTTTTTATTTTCTTTTGTTTATGTGTCTTGCTGAATTGCCTGTTTCTAATGTGTGTTTCCCCTCCTGCCTCTAAGGGTTTCTGAAGAGTTTTGAAGCACCTATTTATTTCAAAGACAATAGTGAAGAGTCGGTTTTTAGAAAGCCAACATGCTTTAAGAACAGACTGAACCGGAGACTCCTATAAGTCAGCGTAGCCAACAGGGAAGTACAGTGTGACCCCATAATTCAGCATGACCTAGACGAGAGGATCTCAGCGGGCCTTCTGCTAGCCCATGAGATGATTCCTGGACCGGGTCGCATCCAGCCTCCGCTAGCCAGGGGCTGAATGGAAGCCTCCCAGCATGAAGCAAAGGCGGCCACGCTTTCCTCTTCCTGCTGCTCTTAAAAGTGGAGGCTCTCTTCCAAATGTTGGTGGTTACTCAGAACACCAGAGGAACAATGCAGGGGGGGGGGAATCTGGCGTCACCTGCGTCCACCTGGCCAGACTGCCTAGCGGGACACGTCTGGGAAGGCCGCCGGGAGGGGTGAGTTTTCATGAATCGAAATCCACTTCTTCAGACACAAAGGAATGGAAATACACGTCCTCTCTATTTACTCCCAGGCTGGTGAGATGCCTTTCTAGGTGAGAATGAAGACAACAGACAAAGCAACATTGGTTCATTAACCCAGTAAATTAAACATTCAAAGCCCTGGGTTTAGATGAGCAGATATGACTTTCTAACATCTGGTTTGGGTCAGGGGATTGGTGGACCGGTCTCCTCCTGTGGTGCAACGCAGCTGCGCACTGGGACATAGGGGCAGGGGAACGATTCAGAAGACGGTGTTGATGAAGCTGGTCTTTCATGGCCTCCAAGCAAAAATATCAGACATGGCAGAAAGGTCCTTGACCCAGGATCATCGCCCTTCCAGCTTAAGAGTTGCCTCCACAACTCTTTCACGACCGGATTTGTTTTGTGTGTTTGTGCGCATGTGATAAATACACTTGTTTCCTATCTCTGTGGCAAGCGACCTGGGACCCTCTTAACAGGAAGATAGGCTAGAAATCTCCTCCTAAGTCAACACAGCAAGCTGAGGAAAGAGCCCCAGAATGAGATTATTTTGTTTGGGCTACCTGCGGTGTAGTTAATGGAGTAAATGTTT